TCAAGTTCAAGGAGAGGTCCAGGTTGAAAATACAAACTTGGGATTGTCACTGTGAAACTTGTATGTAAAGCCATGAGACTAAATGAACTCACCAAGGGAGCAAGTATAGATAGTAAAGAGATTTAAGAACTGCACCATGAATTACCCTTCATAAAATGGTGAGGAGCTAAGAGGTGACAATGGGAAGGCTGAAAACAAGCAGTTAAGGAGGAAGGAAGAGGAGAACAGGACAGTGTGGTGGTAGACACCAGTGGAAGAAAACCAACCAAAGAGGAGGATTGATCAGTTCCATCAAATCTGTGGCAGGTAACTACATAACTAAGCCAGTGTGGAGAACGTTGGTGGATTTGTGAACACCATGGCCCTGGAGTGAGGGGGACAGAAGCCTATTTGGATCAGGTTCAAGAGAGAATGGTCAGAAAAATGGAGACCAGAGTGCAAACACTTCTGAGAGTTTTACTGAAAAGGAGAGAAATTGGGACAGTAGCTAGTAAGAGACATGGGATAGAATTGGAGATTTGTTTTGTCTTATTTTGTTTTTAAGCTGGGAAAAATAATGTCATTGTTTGTATGTGGCTAAGAACTATCTAGTTCTCCCAGAAAGCCCCTTTCTTAAATTCAACAGAGATTTTCCATGCACCCATCTGTTACATAGTGGTAGGGAACACAGATGAGTAAGTCAGGATTCTCTGCCTAATGTCAGTAACCCATGACCTCATCTTCCGCCTCTGTTCCTTCTGATGTGGTGTCACCATGTTTTCCTTCATAAAGCTCAGTCTTTCCATTGGCTCCAGAGAAAACTCCCTTGACTAGCTCTGGAGGCCACCAAAGACTCATCTCTTCCTCTTGTCCTGTGCTTCAGCTGATCTGAACCACTTGCTGTTCTGCAAACTGGCCCCCGTTTGCATTGTTGCCTCCTTAGAGGATCTGTTCCTGCTTCCCACAGCCACACCCTGCCTTTCACAATTCAGCTCACAGGTCACCTCATCCCCATCAGCTAGTAGGAAGCAAGCTCCCCTCTGCTAACTCTGCTGCCTTTTATGACATTAGAGGTGCCCATGTGGAGTCTGAGCTGTGTGGCTTTGGTAGGTTACATAGCCTCTCTGTGCCTCTGTTGCTTCATGTGTGGAATGGGAATTATAATTGTACCTACCCCACAGAGTTCTGGGACTTAAGTCGATAAATGTGTGTGAAGCACTTAGAACGGTGGGTAGTGTTGAATCATGCGTAATGTTAATAACCATAGCCTTTGTTTGTGTTATAAAAACATGTACATAAGCCTGTAGATTTTGCCTGTTGTTATATAGTTTATTGAAAGCAGGGTCTATATTTTGTTCATGTCTGTATCCCAGGCATTAGCAGTTTAGTTTCATAATGCATATTAATCAGGTTAATTTCATAACGTATGTTACATGCCGGGTATGTTATAGCAAAAACAAAGCCTTAGTCTTTCACTCTTTGCCATAGCTTTTCAGTAACCATGATAATAGAGCACAAAGCATTTGTTTACCCCTCCTTCCTCCCTGTCTCGAGAGGATCTGCTTGTTTAAGTGAATAAGCAGAAGAAACTCAGTGGTGTTTTGATTTTGAATTTGTCCTTTCTTACTATATTAATCAAGCAAATAATAAAATGTTCCTTTAAATTTCTGAACCAGTAAATAAGCTTTTACTACCCAGGTTTTTCCTCCTTTCTCCCTGACTCATCCAAACCTGTATCTCCTCAGTTGAGTCTAATATTTAGGTAAATTGAGATCTGTAATAAAATTATATCTGTACATAATAAAGGAAATAAAATTAAAATTTGATGTTTATATATACATGTCCTATGAGGACCTATGTTTTGGAATCGTTTACCAGATATTTAACCTTTTCAGAATAGTAATAATTTTATTATGATAACTTAATTTGAGGCTGTGTCATCAGCAAGCCTTCATAACTTTTGATGGCTATGTTTCAAATGTCCATTATATATCTAGTGCTGTTCTTAAAATATAACTGCGTAAGAATTGGGGCGCCTCTTTTATTCGTCCCATCTCCTCATGTGTAAGACCCTCGATTTGGGATGCCATCTTTGGCCTGGTACCATAACATCTTTCCTTCCAACCCTGTGCCTTCTACTGTCCTCCCTAGCTTGATGTGCACTCACGTAAACCAGACATTTATCTTCATCTTCTCTTTTGCCTCCATACCCAGGCAGCCCACATTGCCTATTAAATGTCTCTCAGATCTGTCACCCCTCATGCCCCCATGGACACTGCCTCTACCAGCCTCTCTCCATCTCTTCCTGAACTCTGGCACTGGTCTCTTCTCTGTGGTTGAGGGTACTTAGGATCTACATTCATCTGCCTACTGGCTACCAACCATAGAAGAACCATGCAAATTCCTCTGTTTAAAATCCTCAGTGGCTGTGTCCATTGAAGATCCTCAGTGGCTGTGTCCATTGAAGAAACCAGGTCCCCAAAGCTTTCAGACTTCAAGAATTGATAGTGGAATATTTATATTTTGTACGACCACTGTATTTTTGGAAAATTTATTTATATTAGAGAAACAGCTCTTACAAAGTAACAATTCATCATACCATTCCATGCTCATTTGAGAAATAGAGCAGACATATGTGGACACGTTCGGTGTAGAGGCACTGGCCACTTAGCTGTGATGTGCTGCTCCTTTGAAGTAACCCGGGAGCCCAGAGTTCTATACCCAGGATCTTGGTTTGCATGAGACCAGCCTATTTGCTCCGTTTCACCTTCACTCCGATGTACCCTGGTGTGGATCAGACATTTGGTGGTCATTCTCACCATCTCCCACACGGTGGGGATTTGTAGCCACTGTAGTCCTCTGTGCAGAGTGCCTTCCTCCTGTCTACCCAGCACCATCCTGTATGAACTAACTACTACCTACTTTGGGTCTCACCATCCACTTCTGCATCATTCACCATAGTTCCAGTACTCCACCTTTTTGTGCCAGTCTCTGTTACAGTTCAGTGCCCTCTGTGGGAACCAGAAATGAGTCTTTAACGTTGTACCTCCATCTCCTGCCTAGTGCCTCTCACGTGAGGGTTTGGTATGTAAGTGAGTGAGTGAATGAATCAAGAGGATTAAATGAGTAAATAAACACACACAAGGCAGTGGGAATATTCTCTGGCACATGGCAAGTGCTCAGCGTGTGTTAGACCACATATTGTGAGCTGCACACCGTTTTAGGGACTAGGGAAGCAGAAATGAACCAGATAATTCCCATTTTCATGAAGCTTATGTTCTCCTGAGAGAAGATAGACACAAATATTTAATAATCCAGGGAAAATAAATGCATTGAAGAAAACTAAAACAGGGTAAGGAATAGATAGCAGTAGAGTAGCTATAGGGTTTGAAGGTTCCTGTTCCCATATCACAAACCAGAGAAGAGGCAGCTGTGGAGCTAAGAGATGATAATCTAATAACCAGAGCAGGCATAAAACATAAGTATCAGGGAAGCACTGCGAGGAGCCCAGCCCCGACAAGGCCATCTGAGCAGAGGTCCAGTTCAGACTGAGGCAGGAGCCTGAGTGGCCAACTGGGGTCAGCAGGGAACCCAGGGCCACCAGTGTGGCTAGAATGAAGAGGGTGAGGGAGAAAGTGGCAGGAAGTGAGCAAGTATAGTCACTGAATGCTTCCTGGGACTTTGTGCCACGTTCTCAGCCTATAACAAAGCTGCTTTTAGGACAGCAGTTCTGTAGTTCCCTGAATTGTAACATATAGGTCCATAATGAGCAATGTGGAGTAGGTTCTTCTAAAATCACGTTTTTATTGTAGGGCATGGGGGCAATCAGGATTGTGTTTTTCGCCCTTAGTGAGAATTGGTGGCTAGCTGGGCCATTGAGTAAAAAGGAATGATTTGTGTCTATAGGTTATATAAGGTCCCTTCCAGCTTGCAGTTTTGTGATTCTAAATTCACCTGAAAAGTCCGGAATGTATAAGTAGGCTAAGTAGCAGTAATTATGCTGCCACACCCACCCAAATCTTATGAAAATTAGCAAGGTCATAGGATTTTGAGCTCCAAGCTACTGTGCTACTGAAAGTGAGCACCCTTGCTAGCTTGGTGAGGTAAGGATGGCTTCACTGCATATCAGGGGAAGTGACATTTGGTTTTAAAGGCATTTTGTTGTGAGTTTTGAAGACTTCTTGTCAACATTGGGAAATGGCAGCCCAATCCAGTGTCTCACCTGTGTTTTTTTTGTTTTTTTTTCCTTTTTCTTTTATTCATATGTGCATACAAGGCTTGGTTCATTTCTCCCCCCTGCCCCCACCCCCTCCCTTACCACCCACTCCGCCCCCTCCCTCTCCCCCCCTCCAATACCCAGCAGAAACTATTTTGCCCTTATCTCTAATTTTGTTGTAGAGAGAGTATAAGCAATAACAGGAAGGGACAACGGTTTTTGCTGGTTGAGATAAGGATAGCTATACAGGGCACTGACTCACATTGATTTCCTGTGCGTGGGTGTTACCTTCTAGGTTAATTCTTTTTGATCTAACCTTTTCTCTAGTACCTGTTCCCCTTTTCCTATTGGCCTCAGTTGCTTTAAGGTATCTGCTTTAGTTTCTCTGCGTTAAGGGCAACAAATGCTAGCTAGTTTTTTTAGGTTTCAAGAGCCCCTAAATTCAGTCTGCAGCATCTCTAGCAGCACCCAGGGTGGATTGTCATGTTAATCTAATCTAGTTCTTTTGTTGTGCCACCTTCAGTACTGCCCCAGAGTTCCCAAAGTCAGAGCTCCATCCCTACCAAGGCTACAGTTACAGCCTGTTAGAATGACTATCCAGTCTACTGGCTACCTCATGCCTTCCTTGCACCACTCTCTAGATCATTCTCCCACCTGTTAGCCTGGCCAGTTCTTCTTCCTCCTTCGAGTCTCAGCTCGAATGGCTCTTCATCAGGCAAGCTTTTTCTTCTCTTTGCACCCCACCCAGACTACATTATGTTATCACTTCCTGCTGCCCTCTCACTCTCTTCCTTCCTCTTTTTAGCCATATCATGTCTGAATATGGGCGGATGACAGACACAGAACGAGACCAGATAGACCAGGATGCTCAGATATTCATGAGGACCTGTTCAGAAGCAATTCAGCAACTCAGAGCAGAAGGTGAGATGCTCCAAAACATGTAAGCAGACAGCCATGAATAAATACGTCAAGTAGTTCAAAAAGATTCAAATGGCACAACCACTTGCAATTCCTTCTTACGTTCTTCCTGAGATTTAGGGTTCGAAACTTTAAAATCCTTGCCAGGAACCGGCATGCCAATAATCATAGTTACTTGGAAGTTGAGATTGGGAAGACTGTGGTTCAAGAACAGCCTAGGCAAAAAGTTTGCAAGACTCCCATCTCAACCAGTAACTGGGCACAGTGGCATGCACCTGTCATCCCAGCTGTGTGGGAGGCTGAGCTTAGGAGGATCACCATTCCAGGCCAGCCCAGGCAAAAAAGTTTGCAAGACCTCACCTCAACAGAAAAAAGCTGTCATACCAGTGATGGTGGGAAGCTTAAAATAGGATCGTGGTGCAGGCCAGCCTGGCAAAAAGCTCCTATCTCCAAAATGACCAAAGCAAAAAGGGCTGGAGATATGGCTCAAGCTGTAGAGCACTGCTTACTAGTGCAAAGACCTTAGTTCAAGCCCCAGTACCATCAAAACATACAAAATACACTTAAAAATTCTTCCTGTGCTGATCAGTGTTTTAACCTAAACTGTTGAAAGTCATGGAAGACCATCATTCAAGTTAAACAAATGGGAGGTGGGAGATGGGCAGGACTTTTCCAAACAGTACCAGAAGTTTACCATGGGGCCATGGTCAGAGAAAACACATCAGATGTGTTCAGACATTTGTGAGTATGTTTATGGGTAGATGCATTTAGTGGGGCAGAGAAGATGGCACATGGACATGGACTGGAGAGGGTACTCTAAGTTCTACTTGCCATATTGAAATAGACTTTCTTATCAAATTTCATGACTCAGAGGAAGGGTAACCCAGCTCTGCCACTTTCTAACTGTGTGGCTTTGGGCAAATAACTTAACCTCCCTGGGCCTCAGTTTCCTCATCTAAAAAATGCAGATAATTATCAAATATTCCTCTTAGGACTTTTGTGAGAATTAAGTTACATTCTTATAGCATGCTTAGACCGTTCCTGGCACTGTTAGAGTTTAATTCTTACCAAGGCACAGGGATGGCTTTCCAAGTCATATCTCTTCCTGGATTTCTTCTCAAGGTGAGTAGGCAGGTAGAGTACATTAAGAATTACAGAGGTCAAAGTTGCTGGTTGCTGTTGTTCCAGAAACTTTAGTAAAAACTCCAGACCACAGAGAGAGTTTGATGAAAGCTATATGCATTCTTGCCAGAGAAACATGCACACCAGTGTGTGTGCTATTTTACAGCATCTCCAAGTCCTCTGGTGAGTCTCAGGCCATGCAGCCCATAGTAAAAACATAACTGTGCCCCTGCCTTAGGCCTGTACCTTCATATGATGCACATGCGTGGAGGGCCAGCAGTTAAGTGTAGAACCATAGGATCTGCAGCTTGTTGCTGCCTCCAAACCTTACTATTCCCATGTGTAAAACAGCCACCATCAGAGCTGCAGTTTGCAGGCTGGCTCATTCACAGTATATATGCAGTGCTAAGAGCACCTGCACACAGTAGGTCCTAACCTCTCATAAAAGTTAGCCATCTTCCCGAAGAAACAAGGAAGCACAGACCTGAGGACTGGCAAATCTTTTCTTTCTTTTTAAACCAGACTTATGTGTGACAGTTCACACAGGAAAGGCATTCTGGTGGCTAGGCATCTGAGAAGGTTCCTGGAGAGGAACAGGACAATTTGACTCGGTATCTAAGGGACCCTTGGAATGTGAAGGTCCAAAGGGAGAGAACGGGGCAAGCTGGTGAACGGTGCAGGCACAGAACGGGAGGTGTGTGGTTGAGGTTTGATTTAAGTGTGTTACTTGAAGGTTGGCGTGAGCACTGGATGCCGTTCATACAACTGGGGTTGGCACTCAAGAACAGGTTGCACTATACACAGTCCTTAAGTGCTGTGATAAACTATAAATGACTCGACTGCAGCTCCTCTGGGTTTAATCTTTCACTCTGGTAAAACCTAATAAATCTTACTCTTGAATCTTACTCTGTGTCACTTGACACAAGACTTGTTTTATAGCTGTGTTTTTAAAAACACTTTCAATAAAGACGTTTCTCTAAGGGAGCTGATGAATTGTTCTCTAGGATTACTGAATACAGACCTGAACATTGTCCTTTTCTGTTACAGCCCACAAGGACATACATTCCCAGCAAGTGAAGGAGCACAGGACTGCTGTTTTGGATTTCGTTGAAGATTACTTAAAAAGTATTTCATTTTCTCCCGAAACTCAAATGTGGCATTTCATAGCAGATGTGATTCAGAGTGTACTTTGCTAGCTGAAGACTATAGTATTTTGTTGTGTTTAATGATGTCTTTGGCTGAGACGCCTTTTTAAATGGCCTCATTCTGGTATTTTCCCTCAACAGGGTGTGTAAACTTTACTCAGAACAAAGAGCTATCCGAGTTAAGCGAGTGGTGGATAAGAAGCGCTTGTAAGTATTGCCTCTGTTGGTAACGTAACCCAGGCTTTCAGCGCACTCGCTCTGTGTGGTGTGCTGTGCTTGAAGTTCTTCACAGAATGCCACCATAGTGCTAACTGAGTACATGCTATGTGCAGGTGCTGGGCTGCACACTCTTAGGTCACAGTGACCCCACAGGCTTAGCAGGTTTGGTAACTTACCCACAAGCCTACAGTCCGGATTGAGCCAGGCTGTTGATTCTAAATTTGTGCCCTTGCCCATTTTGTTTCTTAATAACCCAAAGAGGGGCCACTTGTAGCCATTTTACCTCATTCTGTGTCTTCTATGCCTTCCTTGTTGTCTCTAAAAAGTTTTCCTGAGGGAAGTGCCCAGCATGGTGACCAGTGTTCCACTGTCAGGCTTCCTTGGGTCACTGGCTGTATAAGAGAGTGCATGTAAGATACCATGTGCTCTGAGCACACACCTCCTTCCAACCCATTTTTCTCAGGCACTATTGTGAGCTCCCTCTGCAGTGAGGACACTACAGCTCCAGCAGGTAGAGCGAAGTGTCCACGGCCATGCAGCCAGGAAGCAGCAGAGCCAGATGCCAGAGTGTGTTTCCACGGCATCTGCCTGTGCCTCTATCTGTCTTCCCTGTGGGCCCCTGTGTATTCCTGGAGTGTAGGAGCTGGGTCCACACAGTGACTTCTACTGTAGCAGCTCAGCCCATCTTGAGAGTGAAAAAGTCAGTGAGCCAGTGAGTACTTTCTACACTCCAGATCTCAGTCATCTGTAAACCAGCCATGGAAATAGTTGAGAATGTTCTTCCAGGAGATAACATTGAATGTTTTGGGACAAATTTTCTTAATTATTGCATCAGGAGCCCCCTGCACAACTCTCTAATTTGTTGATTCACTAAGATGTGCAGTATTTAACGTGCAGCCCTGCTCTTGGCTGTGGCTTTCACACTGAAAGGATACAGAGAGGAACTGCAAAGGCCTGTGCGATAAAGTACAGGGGAGACCAGAAGACAGCTTCTGGTAGTCTTCTCCAATGGAACTGTGGGCACATGACTAGACAACTTGTCTAGACAGCTCAGTAGCAACTTGCTGCCCAAGGACTTTCCTGGGGGCTAGTTACATAGACACATTGTACCTGGCACATTCAAACCAGAATCCAGCGTTGAGCCACCTTCAGACCACATTGGTAGCACACAGCGTAGGCATGGAGCTACTCCTTCAGTTAGGATGGTGTGGACGCACCAAAGTCCAAGTCCTCAGGCACGGCCAAGGGTAATCTGGAAGCAGGCCTTTCTGAGGATGGTATTCTAGGCTGCCATACTTGTCAAATGGATATGAAGTTGTAAAGGCCAGCAGGTACCGGCATTTGTAGAAATCATTGAGTAGATGGGCCAGGTTATCCATCAGCACATAATTATTTATTTTAATTTATTTTTTTTTTATTGTGCTGGGTGTGGGTACATTGTAGCATTTACAAAGGGCTAATTATTATTTATTATGCAGTACACTAAGGGCAGTTTGAGGGAAGCAGCAGGTAAAGTTCGGCCCTCAGGGAGCACAGAGACAGACGGGGTGGCTATGTAAACTTGAAAAGATAGCCACCTTAATCGGGATGTGTGAGAATTAGTGAGGTCAGAATAAGGTCAGATAGGGAAGGGTATGGCCAAGTGGCATAGCAGTGCCTAGGGGCTCAGACTGCAGCCAGACCGCCTGTGTTTGAATTCTGGCTCTGTCAACTGTGTGCCTTTGAGCAGATGCTTAATTTCTCCACACCTAAGTTTCCTTTCCTGTAACATGGGAAAATTAATAGAACCTACCTTGTAGGGTTGTTGTGAGAACAAAACAGTGATAGTGAGTTAATAAGTGGTAGCTTGTACTGCTGTTAAGCACTCACTATGTACCAGATAGTACATTCATTTACTTCACTTAATCCCTGCAGCCACCTTCCTAAAAATATTAGCATTCCATTTTATAAATGAGGAAACAGGCTCAGCAGATTTGCCGAATCAAGGTTTGAACCTCAAGGTAATTGGAGCAGATTTCTCAAGCAGTGGGACTTGTTGAAAGAAAACTGTCTGGGCAGGTGACGTGAGAGGAAGAAAGCAGTCCAGGCTCAGGGAGGAGAGTAAGCAGTGTCCCAGGAGCAGTGACATCAGTTTGCTCCACAGGTTGTGATGATGTGTGTGTGATTTGCCATCAAGATAGTAAGGTGGTCACTGTCTCTCAGCCCCACCCCCCGCAGGAAGGCATATGCCTGCTGCACTGTCCATGTGGAGACCAAATAGGTGCCCCAAGTAAAGCAAAAGGAGTCTTTGGCTGCTGCCACCTCAGTTCCTCTAATTGTTGGCAGAGATTTTGACTAAAATACAAGTTAAAGTCAGTCAGATGAGAATCGCTGTCATTTGGACAGTGAGGAATAACATAGCCTCCTGCCAAATCAATAGCTGTCCTGTGCCAGTTACTTTGAGCAGAAGACCTTGCAGGGAAAACTGGAGCCCTTCTCAGTCTAGTCCAGCTCTCCTCTTCTGGGTCTTTACACTCTCTCTCTCTCTCTCTCTCTCTCTCTCCTCCTCTCTCTCCTCTCTCTCTCTCTCTCTCCCTCCCTCCCTCCCTCCCTCTCTCTCTCCCTCTCTCTCCCTCTCTCTCTCCATGACTCTGTCTTCTTGTGCCTTCATCCTTGCTTATTTTTCCACCCAGAAAGCCTTTTACACATACTTAATGTTCTCTGCTTCCCACACCCTGCCCTGTTCATCTGGCAAACAAACTCCTATTCGTTCCTCCCGCCCCAATTAAAATGTCACCTGCTCTGTAAAGTCTCCTCAGCTCCTGCAGACTATCTGGTTAGCAGATTCCCAGCATGTCATTATACATTTTCATACAGCTGCCACTGACGTGTGTGTCCCCACCCACCTCGGCACATTGTGCAGTACAGTGCCTGTCCTCAGGGGAAGCCAGTTGGGGAGGTGTCCTGTTGGATTGCTGGATTCACTTTGTTTTGTTTTGGTTGCTGATGGTCATTGTTAAACGGTCAACCTTATAAAATTGATTAACAAATGCAGTTGTTCATGTTTTATGATGTTGTTATTATTGGTCTGTTTTGGCTCTGATGAAAGAAAAACATATTTGTAGTTAAGGAGCAGCCTGAGTGTTTAATCTTTTGAGAATATGGAAAGAAAGATATTACATGCTAGGATTTATTTTTATAGAGTGATGGATGATATCATATTGATCTACACTCTTATTTCAAATTGAGTGAAAATATTTTACTCTTTAAGCCAGAAATAGTCTTGGCTGACATTTCTGTGTTTTTCTATGACAACTATGTTGTCTCAGAATGATAGTGTCATCAACAGGTCTGTCTGTTTCCATCTTTCCTCCAGGCATTTCACTTTATGAGTTGATAGTGGTACCTGCTACACATTGCCTCAAGCTGGAGAGAGGGAGGCTGACGACTATTACTGGGGTTTCCTGTGCTCTTGCTCCTGTAGTTACACCATGGGTCCTTTGAAGGCAAGACCACCGTGTCTTTTATCTTTCTGGTCTCCGTACATTGACTTGAGCCTGCCGCAGAGTAGGCGCTCGCTCAATTGATGGTTCTTGAATGAAGAGAAGTCTGAATGGGGTGCAGTTGCACATTTCCGGCTCATTAGGTGTAATAGTGAATACTTACAAACTAAAAGCCAGTATTGGACACAGCATTGGCAAGTGACTCTGCCATCCCCACAGGGTTTGAAAGCTACTCTCCTACCCTTAACGCACTAACATTTTGGATGTAATTTAAGTTGAAATAACCATCACATGCTGTCCTGGGTATTCACTCATAAAAAAAATTCTGAATTAATCAAAAACTTGTTCCCTTCCCAGAAAAGAATTGGGCTGTGTATCATTACTTTTTCTTCAGGAAGAGGTTGAAGGTAGCAGTCAGATTAACCTCTGAGACTCATTTCTAGATCAGAGGATTTCTTTCTGAAGGCCTAATAAACTGGACAGAAGCCCTGGACAAATCCAAATTTAAACATTAGGCCTTCTCTCCAGACAGCTGTTCCTACCTTTCTATGGGTCCTCTGATCCTGTTTCTCCTATAAATCTGATCTTGCTTTAAGATTTGCTGGATTTGGACTCGGCATTCAAACACTTCAGTTTTACTAGTACAGTGTTCTTACAAGTGGAAACTCTTGACTGTTTTCTCTCTCTCAAGAGAGGTCGTCCAAGAATAAAAGCTATTAGTCAAAGATAATGGCTAGTTATAATATTGAGAAAATTGCAAAACAGCTAGATGGGAAGCGTGGACAGCAGTATAGCACCTGCTGAGTTTTTCTGTACAGCTTGAAGTTATTGTGAATTCTAAGATATTCTGAGGAAATACTGGTGACCTAAATAAGATTTACTCTAAAAACCATTACTATGTACAGACAGGTCTGAGAAACACTTAGTGCTCAGAGTTTACCTGGCCTCTGTGCCCCGATTACATCTTCCTATGGGGAGTCAAAGGACTCTCCCCAGCCCTGGCCAACACCCTACAGAAAACTTGAAGTTATCCACAGCCAGTCATGATCCTTAAGATGTCTATTATATATTCCCTGATGTGGATACAAAAGATCAAAGTTTTGCTGCATTTGGCTCCTTTTTAAAAAACATTGGTTCTCTTATGACATTGGTCTCTTGTAGTTGGTACATGAAAAAATGGATTCGGTTATTATTCTTTATGGTTCAGTCCTCCCACCCCAGGTAGACTGTAAGGTTGGTGAGGACTATACCTTTTACCTCTTTATAGGCACTGCCTTAAGCCAGGATTCTACATATCTAAATAAGATTTCAATACATTTTGCCAGAAATTCAAAATGATGATGGTGGTGGTGGAGTGCTGGTAAGATGAAGAAGAACAAAGAGAAGTGATGCAACGTGATATTAGGTCCATAACAGGAATTTTGTCTTATTGTCTGTAACAAGGGCCTTATCCAATGCCTAGAAAAATTTAACAAACTGGCCCCTGTGCCAAATCCAGACCTTGGCCTATTTTGTATAGCCCTCTGACTAAGTGTGGTTTTTATGTTAAGGTTTATAGAACAAAAAAAGGAGAAGAAAAAGAATCTATACTATTTACCATCTGGACCTTTACATGAAAAGTGTGGTAGCCTGACTTAGAACAGACTCCCTGAAGAAGTGAAAGGCCACTTGTTTATTGTATTTTTTTTTGCAGTCAACCATGAACTGAAGTATACTGTGCTGTACATGACAGATGTGTACTCTGCTGTACATGACAAGTTCACAGCTATGCCACTGGTGACCCACCACAGTAGTCTGATAACACCTGAGCTGGGGTACCATGTTCAGCAAGCTGAAGCCTCTGAATAAAAAGCAGCATCATGTTGCTGTAGATTCTTACTCTTGTGTTTGTGCCTGTCTTACAGCAGACCAGTAGTAAGCAGTTTAGGGTCTGGCACTGGTCTGTGGACTACACCTTGAGTAGTACTTGCTTACGAAATCACCTCGGATATAGTAGGCACCAGTAAATATCTGTTAAGTGAGTGACTGAATGATGGTGAAGATGGCTTAGTCAAAGTGATTGGTGTGAGACATCCTGTGCCCTGTGAGGACACACAGTTAGTTGCCTGTGCCTGAGTGCTACATCCGTGATGCTATATGTAGAAAATATCTTCCTCCTACCTTTTCATGTTGGGGACGTAAAGAAATAGAAAAGCAATACTTGAATCTGGAGTAATTTAATCACTTTTCTCTAATATTTGTATGGGGCCTTATTTAAGGTTTGCAGAGAGCATCTCTTATATGTTCTAGTTTCAAAACCAGGAAATCTATCTCAACCTCTTTTCTATCTCTTTCTGTTCTTTTTAAATTTTAAGTAGAATCCTGAGGTGAAGTTAAGAGACCTAGAACAGATGTCAGCCAGGTGGAAATTGTGTTGATTGCAGTTATGAAATGCTCAGCTTCAGTTAGAAAAATCAGTTTAAATAAATCATGGGGCAGAAACCGATCTTTCAGGTGGCTTTTTTTAATTGCCTTTTTTTCCCCAAATTGCCTTCAACTAGCTAATTTGTAATTTCCCTGAGAGTTTCGATAGACATTCTGTGTATACTTAGAATCTGTTTTTAATCACTTAAAAAAAAAAAGAGCTCAACTTTGTCTCAGTCTTCTCTCTCTGCAGCCTTTTATTCATTTTAAATTGAAAACTGGTACATTTGTATACGCCAGACACAAAGGATGACAGACATTAAAGGAGCCCTTTATTTAAAAGTCAGTTAAGGACTGAGGGGATGACTCAAGTGGTAAAGTTTCTGCCTAGCAAGCATGAGACTCTGAGTCCAAGCCCCAGTACTGCCAAAAAAAAGTCAGTTAAGCCTTTCCCCTTCTGAACCACTCAGTCCTAAAGCCATGAGGTTGGGCAGAGTAAGGCAAGGGTCTACAGCTTGAGGAGCCTCAGGTTACCCATATGGGGTGTCAGGGAGAGTAGGGTGATCAGCATGGACAACGAGAGCCCCAGCAAGGATAGTGGCACATCCTGGCCGGGAGGAATGATGGTGAAGATGGGGGCGATCAATAATGAGCACAGAAGGATGGTGGAAGCCAAGCTTCTCACTGTGTGCATGTAGGAGAGGTAAAAGGGAAAAAGGCCAGAGTGAACCTTGTCATCTTGGGTTGGAATAAAAGACACTGGTGTGAGTTCGTGGTTTTCCAGTTTCATAGATCAGTGCCTCTACAACTTGTAAGTGTGTATGCATGTACGAAAACGCATGCAGGCATTTCTGTTCTGTCCATTGAAAAGGCTGAAGCAGTGACACCTCAGGAATGATAAGCACACCTCCCAGGTCTTGGTCTGTAAATACCAACTTCAGCTTCAAGAAACAAGGCTTCTTAGAGAAAAAGCTGATTCTTAGGCCCAGATAGAGAAGTATAAAATGAGCCAGGATCATTTCCTTATAGCAGAAAGCAAGGAAGGAATTAGGAGGATAGAGACATGTTTAAAGGACGCAGCAGCCAGTGTGAAGGGGTTGCTGCTGGCCGAATTGCAGATGATTAGTGCAAAAAAAAAAAAATGATAGCAGATTATAACCCACTGTGTGAAATAGGACCTCATGAGTCTCCTCTGGGTAGAAATAAATTAATGAATAAATTAAAAGTTTGAAATCATTATGTAGGATCAAAGTACCCCCCACCCCATACTTGTTACAAAGAGGGAAAGAGTAACCTTATAGCCAGGGAGCCTGGCAGCCATCTCCTTAGTCAGGTGGGCAGGGTGACGTCACACACATCCTGTTAGGGTGCCATGAGAAGAATGCCAGAGCACTTTTGTGATTCCAGCCACAAGAAGATACCAGACTGAAGCTCAGGTTGTCTGATGGAATGCCTAGCACATACTGTGTATCGAGGCCATGAAAATCAAGTGGAGACTGAAGGAACTATTCCAAATGAATGAGACTAGAAAGAAGCAGCAAGTCGATGCAGTGCCTGATTTTGCCCTTGATCCTTTGGTTATAAAGGATATTGTTGAGATAATTGGTCAAAATAGAGAGGAGTCTGAGGAGAAGGTGAAGGCAACACATTGATGTGCATTCCTGTGTAGGGGAGATTGAGCCACACTCTGTAGGAGGCAAGGGGAAGGCCAAGTACGAAAGACTGTGCTTTCTGGTCAATTACTTGAAGCTATTACTTATAACTTGTTCGTATATACACTGAACAGTACTTCTGCCTGCATTAGTGAAGAATTACATGATCAGTTACATTCAGCTTCCTGCATTTGTGCAAGGTGGGCAGTTGGCCTTCACTGCCCATGTGGTGAGTATAGTGTCCATCTGCCAGAGTGCTCATTGCATGCTGTCTGCAGCCTCTCCTGAAGCTGTGGCTGGGCATGCATGGGGAATGCACAGCCCCAACCTAAGGCAACAGTGCCTGTACCTTGCAATAAATACCCAATAAGTGATGTGTATCTAAACAGTCCCTGAGCCCCAAGGCAGCAACTGGTGCTCCCCAGAGAGGGCTGAAGAGCAAAAGTGTAGGGTTCATGCAGGACTCCCTTCTGTTATCAAAAAGGAAGCCTGCTTTGGAAGTAAATTACATGACTGTTCGTTTTTGATTTTTAGATCAAAGCTGGAACCAGAACCAAATACAAAGACTAAAAAATCCACATCTTCTGAGAAAGTGTCACAAAATCCCTCACAAGACTCAGAAGAAAAGCCTGCCACTGAAGAATATCCAGGTAGGAATTAAAATTAAAATCTTGCATTCTATTTCTTCCTATGACCTGTTGGCAAGAATATAAAGCAGGAGCTGGTTGTATCTCCCTGTAATTCCAGCACTCAGGAGGCCAAAGCAAGAGGATCACAAGCGTGAGGCCAGCCTGGGGTACATGGCAAGACCTTGTCTCAAAAAAGAAAAAAAAAGCACACAAAAAGCAGAGACATGGTGATATACTTGCATAAAGCAAAGGAAGCCAGGAGGGGCAGGGTCCAGGAGAAGGGACTGCCAGAGCTGTGCCACAGCAGGGTGGGGTTCACAGCTGTGACTGAGGAGGCAGTTCGGAGCTCTCTGCTGAAAGGTCTCAGAAGAGGTGGCGTACCCCCATTGTGGAGCTCTGTGCTGGCAGCAGGACCCTGTGTGGAGCTGACCATTCTACCCCAGGTGGAGCCAGTGGGACAGCATGTAAGTGTGAGGTTTCTGTCATCACTGATACGAGGTGCCCTGTGGCTTAGAACAACTCCCAACATCCAGTGCATGGCAAAGAAGTACAGAGTCTCTGTAAGGTCAGAGAATGTAGGGAACATACATAATGCATGTGGATGACTTGTTCTGTGTGCAGCACGTGCCCCGGGGTAGGGAAGGCCCGTACTGCAGAGCTGTGGTGGGCGATCATGTGGTGTCACTCACAGCCTGACAGCAGGCTGAAGCCAGGCCACATCTTACAAGGTTCTCACTAGCTCCTGAGGCACAGACCTCAACACTTGCAGGCCTGTCACGTCCTCACAGCAGCTGTCTGCAGCCTCTTTGTTTTAGCAGAATCCTCTGAAAAGCTCAGAAGGTAGGTAATTTGTCCAAGGTAAAATCTTTTGAATGGTGGACCCAAGCTGCATTCATAGCTCTGTCTGATTCAGAGGCCTGTTACATAAGCTGTCTCTGTCTTATGCATTCCCTGTGTTTTACTAGCAAGAGTGTTCCTTGTGTGTCATGGCTTTATTCACCTGAGATGCCAAAGGCCCCTTCTGTAGTTAGAACAGCTTCAATAGGAACTGGAAGGGAAACATTCATGGAGAACCTTCGTCGTGTCAGCTCATGCTGGGTGAGTCATCAGGCCTGATCTGATTGGCACTGGGTCTTTTGAGGTATGTGTTATTGTCAGCATTATATAGATGAGGAAGCCAGGGTTTAAAGAGGTTATATAACCACTTCAAAGTCCCATACCAAGAAAGGGATAGCTCTGGCCTTCCACATGAGTAGGTGGCAGCCACTGTGGTCCCAAGGGCAGGTCTTGTGCTCACGTGCCTCAGCCTCGCCCATGAGGTCATGGGCACTGCTTTTCAGAAGACGACATATGGGCATCAAAAATAAATTTACTGAGTCCAGATGCAGCATCCACATTCATTCATTCATTTATTCATTCAAGAAATCCTGTGAGAGCCGATGGGAGTAGAGGTAGCCAATACCAACTCTGGGGACCTGGCAGAGGGTAGATCTCATGGGAAGATCTTCAGCGAGTCTGCCCTCGCTGGACCCTCGGCCCACACCAAGCATTGTGACCAGGGACTGGACTGGTGCTAGGGATATGGTGGTGGGTAGAAAAGTGGTCTGCTCCTTCAGGCCAGTAGGAAAATAGAGATCAGGTCATTATACAGGTGGCCAGACAGTTATGGTTTGTGCTGGAACAGGATTCGTGGTAAAATGAGAGCTGTGTCCCTAAGGCCTAAGACCTTGACATTTTAGTAAAGACCATAGGAAAGCTGGGTGTGGTAGCACACACCTGTAATCTCAGCAATTGGGAGACTGAGGCAGGAGAATGGAAAGGTCCATGCGAGTCTAGGCTACTTAGTGAGTAGTGAGACTCTGTCTTAAAAAGATGAGAGAGGGAGGGAGGGAGAAAAACAGAGAGGGAGGCAGACAGACAGACATGAGGGGAAGAATCCTGTGTGCCCCTGGGGAGGATTGTGCCGCACTGAGGGAACCACAGTTCAGAGGCCCCAGGACAGAGGCACACCTAGAGTAGTTGGTGAGCCGCCTATCGCTAGAGAGTAGGGGGATAAAGGGTGGGTTGTGTAGTCCTGGGAGCCTACAGGCCTCAAAAGGCCTCTGGCATTTACTCTAAATAAGAAAAGCCACAGGGCAGAGGACTGTCACACTTGACTGCTGAGTTGAAATAGAAGAGACGGTAGTCACCAGAAACAAGGTAACTGAGGACTTCAGCAAGCGTGGTAGCAGGGGTTGGGAGAAGTGGTAGAATGTTCAGTACTATGCAGAGAGGAGCCTCAGTCTGTGTTCTGGGTGTGGGCATGGGGGGCAGAGGAACTACTGCATTTGGGACACCCTGGGGGAAAGAGCCGCCCTTCACAGGCTGCAGCACACTCAGTCAGGACACATGGAGGTGAGATGTCCGGCACAGCTGGTGATAGAGAAGTCAGGGACAGGGCTGTACACAGCACCAGCCCCTCAGACAGGCTGGGGTCCACGGGATGAGGGTGGATAGAAGGGAGAGGATGAAGGAGCCCGCCAGCACTTCCTGTCCTCCCTTGTGCTTTCTCCCCATCATTACTCGTTTGCACTCTGTATTACCTATCTCCCCTGCTAAGACATAGGTTCTGAGTGTAAGGGTTTCTGTGTTTTATGTCTCACCATGCCCCTGAGGGTGACGGGCCTGTACCCATGTATTACTCTAACACAGGCACCAGAGCAGTGCTCAGTGCACAGGAGGCACTCAGGAAATGTGATAGAACTCATGTGCCCGAGCCTCTTCCGAACCACAGACTGGTTCACGCTGACGTGAGGAGAGGCCAGGTGCCTCCGTGGGGTACAGAATTAGTGGCCAGATTGGAGTGATGCTGGGCTTTAGGCTTTTTTCTTAAAATGCATGTGATCACAAGGCTGCCTCCTTGCTAAGGGGGAGCCCCTGGGTTAGATCCAACTGGCATAAGGAGAAAAAGGGCACATGATGAGCGCCCTGCGGAGGCCCTGGGAGCCAGCTCTAGCACTCACAGCCATGCTGAGCATCAGCTTGTCCTGCAGGGAGGTGAGGAGGTAAAAGGCAGCAACCGTGGCTAACAACTTTTCTGCTTCAAAAGACACCATCAAGAAAGAGCCCACAGAATGGGAGAAAATGTTTACAAGTAACACTTCTGATAAGGGGCTTTTATCCAGAATACACAAAGTCCTCTCAGACTTAATACTAAAGGACAACCCATCAAAATATAGAATAAGGGTTTGGATAGAAGATAGAAGTTACTTGAAGGAATATCTGCATTTGGCAGTAAGCAGAGTGTGTTCAACATGATTAGTGATCAGGGAAATGTGGATGTTATGACAGGTGCTGCCTCACACCCACTAGGAGGGCTGGAGTGAAAAGGGCAGGAAGGCGATGTAAAAAAGTGATACCAGGCAGAGGCCAGGTGCAAGGTGAGCTGCACTAGCATTTGGCTTTGATTAAGCATGACTAGAAGCCACTGGAAGTTTTGAAGCTGGGGTGTGACACAGTGTGGCTTCCAGGTTAAAACTCTGTGAAGATTTGGTATGGACAGTCAGACATGTCATGCATCTCCTATAGCACCTCTTCTGCAACCGCTGGAGACTGTGGTAGAATTGGGGTTAGAGAAGCACTCAGGTCAGCTGGTAGGTGAATATACGATATGGGGGTGAGAGCACTCGGGTGACTTGCAGGCTTGGAGCTGAGCAGCTGGTAGAAGGGGGCATTGCTGCCTGGGGTGAGCACAGGGGGAAGTGAGGGGAGTGGGCAGGGTAAAGAATTCACATGCTGGTCTACTCATGTCCAGTCAGAGGGGAAGGTGAAAGCAGTGTCGTAGCAACCAGGGAGAGCTCAGGGCTAAGGACATTAAGGGTCCCAGGAAACAGGCAATTTAAAGCCATTGCCTGGATACACCCTAAGGAGGAGAGGGTCAGGGAAGGGAGAGGCCCACACCAACTTGCATGGTGCTGCCTGTTTTCTGGGATTAACACCTCTCCAGCTCAGCCATGATGTTGGCAGGGTAAATCTTCCCTGCACACTGCTCCACCCCTTCATAGGACCACGTACTTGCCCTTTTCTTATGCCAGCCAGAAGACAATTTCTTCCTAGTTGTGGACATTTTGCTAAGTTTATCCAGAGTTGACAAAGACTGTGTAAACCTGGTCTGTATGAACACTGTCTGTTTATCGTTGCTTTTCAGGTTTTTTTTAATCTTCAGTTTGAAACCTGAGGTGTCACTTGACCATGTTTTGGTGAAAGACAGGGGATGTAGTTGTAGGTGGAGGCTGGTCTCTTGCTTGTCATATGCACGTTTTCATTTAGTTGGCAGTGTTCAACATCTCTGCGGCCACAGCCAATCTGACCACATCTGGTGTTTAGGCCTTTTCCTTCAGAATTCTATCTAGCCGGCATGTGTTCTTGTACCCATTTGTAATTTGTTTCCTGCCTGCAGTTTCACTGACATTCAGAAATTTTTCCCAAGTGAGTCATGGTTCCTGCACTCAGGGAGCTCACACTTGACAGGAAGAATAAGAGTCCAGCCCCTGGGAAAAAGTACATAGTGCCTTAAGAGAAGGCAGAGGTGGGTGCATAATTCAGGCAGAGCATCAGGGGGACTTCATGCCTGAGGAGGTGGCCCTGAGAAAAAGTAAGGCTGGACCTGAAAACAGTGGAAGCTTAGGACATTCTAAGCAAATGCTCAGAGGCCACAAAGCGTGGAGATTGGAATGGAGTGCAGTTGTTAGGAAAATCCCTGGGAATAGTAGCATGTGGAAGGGCAGGGGAGTGGGAAGTAAGGGTGGAAAGGCCACTGAACAGTGCATGCAGACCAGGCTCACAAAAGCTCTGTCAGCTGTGGGTAAGCTTAGCAAGATGTCCACCAACAGGAAGAAACTGTCTTCCGGCTAGCCCAAAGGAAAAAAGGGCAGGTATATGGTCCTGTGAGGGGCCCTGCCAAGACCACGGAAGACTTGAATGTCAGGCCGGACATCTGGACTTGACTCTTGGCATGAACGCACTGTGCTTCAGGCTGAGCCACAGGTCATGAAGGCTTCAGAGGCTCACAAACTTGAACACGAGTTCTAGTAAGAAAACTTTCTCATCCTACTTAGCTAATTTATGCTTGGTTCCAATAGGAACAGGGCTCATGTGATTCTAATTTTGGTGTTCTTATCCTTAAAAAAGAAAAAGAAAAAAAAAACAGAGCTTGAAATGGGAACCATAATGAAGACAAGCAAGAGAGATAGAGCTCCTAGGGTAGAGGTGGTAGTTGAAAAGTACAAACATCCCTACCCTAGCATGCCACCTCAGTTGGCAAGGGTTCTTCAGCCAGGCCTTTATGAATATGCTTTTCTTGAATGACCGTTCCAGCAAAATCAGCCTTTAAAAAATCTAGGAAGTCGTAGATGATGTGGAGATTATTTGTGAAGATGTATTTTTGGTAATAACTGTGGCTTTTGTGCAGGTCCTGCCTGATTGTCTATCCCTAAATCACCACTGTTATTATGTGCTTCCCCTACCAAACACCCAGTCATGGGACTGAGATCAACTATAGGAAATTTGCTGAGGTTGAGGAAAAAAGGAAGAAGATGGAGCATTTGCCTTTGAGTCCTTGGCAAGCCAGTGAGCCCAGAGGCACTGTGAAATACAGACACAAAGTCACCTTTGGAGACAGGGATACATCACAGTCTCCACTGAGGAACAGCCCCTGTCCTCCACTGCTGTCTACCCCACCTCAGCCTGGCAGGGCCTGCAGACCTGTCCAGGCAGGTGCAGGGTGGCAGCAGCCCTAAGAGCCTGGGGTATGAGTTCTTCATTGAGGAATAAGCAAAAAGTTCTCTACGTTAAAATGGTCATCCCTTCCCACTCAGCAGTTCCATGCCTAGGCATCTGTCCTAGAGAAGGACTCCAGGGGCACCCACGGCATGGACTGAGATACAGTGCTCAGATAGTGAAACTCTGAGTTGTAGTCAGGATAGAACAGTGTATCCTTGCAATGGAATACCAAGCAGCAGTGCAAAAGATGAGGGTGAGCTATGTGGACTGACCTAAGATGTTCTTCAAGATATGTTGATAAATCATAAAAAGCAAATTTTAGAACAATGTATTACCATTGATGTCTTTGTGAAAAACAGGCCACTGTGTGTGCACATACAACTATCTGTTATTTCTGAGTAGGGGGTGGGTAGAGAATAGTGTATCCATTGTATGTAAACATGCTTGATAAAGGCAAGGAGATCACATCAAAGCAGTAACTCCAGAGAGAGAATGTCCTATTGCCTCCTCTATTATTTATATATACGTATATATATATATTTTTAAGCAATGAAACTGTCCATATATTTTGTAATCCTTAAAGTAGGATTACAAATCCTTGAAGGAAGGTATGAGTATGTGCTTTGAAATAAAATCTGTACTTTCAAATCTGAAGATTTTGTGTCTAGTTTGCAGCCTCTGCTGAGCTGAGTGAGTGCTGAAGCGGTCCGCACGTCTGTCTCTCGCACACATACAGTGTGAGGCCTGAGTACTAGGCAACAGATAAACGCAGAAAAAGCTGTGCAGCCCTGTTCCTGCCTTGTGTTTTTATGTATTCAGAATAGGTGGCTTCACCTATTCTAAAATAAATACTTGGCCTTTTATCTACTTTTTTTTTTTTTTTTTTTAACAGAAAAGCATTTGGCTGAGACACAACCCGAATTGGGAGCATGGAGTGACGGCAAGGGTGAAGATGAGTTGTCCCCGGAAGAAATACAAATGGTAACGCTTTCTCTGCCTAACTGGGGAGCTGTCCTGAGGCCAGTTCACTGAGTAGAAGGTCGTGCTAAACGCCCTTGCATCATATGTATTTTATAGACACTTAACCAATTTGATTTCCTAGTCCCTAATATGCTTCTCATGTGTTTTAAATTTGCAGTAGCGTAATTAACTAAGAAACTGCCTTGGGGTGATTTTACTAATAATAGATGTCTTTCTGCCAGCAGTAAAATAGTCTTCCAAATTAAATGGGTCTTTTGTAATTGCCAAGGGGATACAATCATTCATCTCACTGCTGTTACGGAAATGAGAAGAAGGCACAAGGATGACTGAAAGATGGGCTTCATGACTGAGCCCATCTCCTTTTTGGTTTTTATGGTGGCACTGGGGTTTGAACTCAGGGCATCAGGCTTGCTAGGCAAGCACTCTGCTTGACCCAATCCGCCAGTCCCGAGCTCATCTCCTTTTGGTGACCTGTCCCACGGTGGCCAGTTGCTATCCTTTGTCATCTCTGGATGGCTTCAGAGGGAAACAGAGGTCTGGCAAGAGCTCTGGCCGCTCGTTTCCAGCAGTGTTTGTGTGGCCTCTCTGAATGACAGGACCCAGAGAGTGAAACTCCTGTGCTTGAGTTTCCAGGAAGCTGCCTGCTGTCATACTATCAAGGCCAAGTGCCCACAACATGGTTGGCTCTCCCAAATCTCAGCCTCTCTGTTATGCAACTGCTAACAGCAGAAAGAGCTTTTCTGTACTGCTCTGCCCTGTGATAATTGCCATAAGAGGCAGTGGGGTGTCACCACCTGCTGTCTTTGGCAGAAAGCAGAAAGGGTCCCGCTCAACGACCTCTGGTTAATAAGTAGTAGAGCTGGATTCCCAGCCTCTGTAGATAGGAGGAACAACAACAAGCCAAAGCCCTAGGGAGGCATGCAGCAGGGTACAATGGCGCCTACAGGAGCGCCCAGCAGAGGCAGGTGGTGCAGCCACTCAGCACACCCACAGACACCTGTGCACAGTGCACATGGCCCTCCTGTGCCTGTGCAGCACTCCCATACAGAGTGTGAGGCTCATCTTCCCACTGACAGTGATGTGGGCACTTCCATTTCCTTCTCCTGTCCTAGCCAAGTCATCCTGTAAAACATTGTCCCGGTATTTTAGTGTCAGCAACTAAAGCGGTCAGAAGTCCGAGAACCTGATTTTCATTGTGGCTTTGAGTGGATGGGGCCAAAGACTGTCAGGCTCAGTACTTTCATGACAGGCCACTTAATGTTCAGCTGACATCTTTCTTAATTGGGAGTAATAGCTAAGTGCCATGTCTTACAGTCTAAGTAACCCAAATCTTAAGAGGCTCAGTCCTGAAAATGAAGAGGAATACCACACTATTAGTTTTAAATTGGAAAGTAGTGTAGCAAATTGTGGCCATAATTCATAATCACTGCTTCAGAATTTTTCCTCAGGGTGAAATAATGAATTAAGCCTGATAATAGCAATTTAATTCATTATTTCATCCAAAGGAACAGTTGTTATATATTCCAGAATGATTGCAGGGTATGGTATGATTTGTGCAATAAATTTCCATTTCTAACTCATGATACAGGTGTATCAGTGCCTTCAAGTTAACAGAGGTCTTCTGGTCAGGCAGAATACAACCAAAATGTTTTTGGTTTCATCAAGAAAATTCTTCCTTTTCTAAGTCCACATTCATTGTATTCAAGTAGACCCTTCTGTCGTTATTGATGTATTCCTTGGGACAATTTTGAAAGACTTATGTAGTTTCTGTTCCTTAAACCTGCATGCCCTAGCCCATGTTCCCTGAGGTAGGCCCATGGAAGCCCCAGGCTCAGCTCATGCCTCAAGAAGAGCATTAGGAGAGTCTGAAGGCTGAAATACAGACCCTGGGGAGGTAAGGGTTGCAGAGCCAGGTGTGTGAAGGGGTTTGGCGTGAAGAAAGCACACTGGAAGAGCCCAGAAAGGGGCAAGGCCATACACTCCTGAGCCAAGAAGTGGGGGTCCCTTGTAGCTGCTCTGAGCTCTTTGCAATGCAAAGGCCTTCTCCATGCCTCAGTTCATATTCAGAGGCCTTTGTAGGAGTGGTTTCTTTCTAAAGCTATAGTAAAGAGGATTAGTTAAGAAAAGAATTCTGTAACAATATATTACAAACTGGATTTATATCCTTTAAAATCAGATTAGAAACTCTAGCAAAGCCCTATTGGAAAGTCCAGCTGACTTCCTCGTGGACTAAGGCAGTTAAGTCATGGTACACACATGTGCCACGCACTGCATGGACCGCTCTGAGCACTCCTGCATGTGTTGATTTATGCATCCTCACATAGAAGGAGCATTGCTGACCCCATTTTACAGACAGCCTAAGTCACCTGCCCAAGGTCAGTGAGTTCCCAACCCCTAGACTCTTTTTTTTTTTTTTTTTTTTTGCTCTGCTTTGTTCAGAGCCAAGTTTGCCTTCCCTAGACTCTTCCACATGATTCTCTACTGCTGTGGCTAGAAGATGGGGAGAGGGGAGTGTTGGAGGTTAGTCTGGCTGAAGTAAAGCATGTATTTGGGTAGGAGCTCTAAGCAGAACAGAGCAGAGAGGCCACAGCAGGGCCAGAACAGTGAGCCATCCATCGTGCCTGGAGGGCCCTGCTCACACACCTTACCCACCAAGGCCTCTTACATTCCTTTCAGCTACTTACTGTGTTAGCCAGCTGCTAATTACTATACAAAACACCTGAGGTAAACAACTTAAGGGAGGGCAGTCTTACTTGGACTCATGGCTTCAGAGGTTATAGTCTGGTTTTGCTGGCTGCACTGTTGATGAGCCTGAGATAAAGCAGAGCATCAAGGCGGGAGGTATCGTGAATAGAGCTGCTACCTCAAGGCAGCTAGGAAGCAGAGAAAGCAAGACAGAGGCCTGGGACAAGGCATGGCTCCTGAGGGAACCGCCCCCCCAGGAACCTGTGTCCTCCAGTGAGACTCCACCTCTGAAGTTTCCATCACCTCCCAGTAATGCCATCAGACTATGGATCCATCACCGGTTGATGCATTGATCAGGCCAGAGCCTCGTGGTCCAATCATCTCTTAATGATGGACCCACAAACTGGGCACCAAGCCTTCAGCATGGGGACACGCCATATCCAATCATAACATTCACGTAGATGAAGGAAGTGTGTCTTAGACTGAGGTCAGGTTGTTTTCTCAGGGCATGTAGACGTCCATTCCTGTGGTGCTAACAGGAGAAACCAGGCCATTCCTTCTGCACTGTACCTGGTGAAGTTCCTACGTGTGTGGGGAGGTAATGTGGCCACACATCAGAGGCAGACACTAGAAGAAAAGTCTGTGTTTGCCTTTCCCAGTGCCTGAGAGAGCAAAATGGCCAAGGGCCCCAGTCTTTACAATCTGAGACCAGAGAAGGACCTTCAGAGTATCTGCCACTCACTTTGCATGTGTAGAATTTGTCTCCCAGACAGAGCAAAATGACAAGTAACATTTGCTGAGAGCATATATTACATGCCATGTACCCATAAACAACTCAAATGTTTTAAATCTCATGTTCCTTCTGCTTGATCCTGCTTGGTACTGTTAGCCCATTCCAGCGACAAAGGCTGTGTACTGAAGGTCATTCAGTGCTAAAGGTGAAGGAGCTGGAGTTCTAGCCCTGGCTCCACACTCTGAATCAGCAAAGGATAAGGCTTGTGACGGCAAAGAAACTGATAGGGGGCCCAGAAGCCAGTGATTGGCCCAGGATCATTCAAGCATTCCCCCAAGGCCACAGAACTGGCTCTCATCCTCACTGGACACACCCACCATCTGTCACTACCACTGGCCGTAGAGTCAGGTTCAGCATTCAGAAGACTACCCTGAAACCTAGTGCCAGTGAATGTAGTCACAGTTGTTACCTGGTCAGCCTGAGCCCTGCTGGGCTCATTAAGCAGTGACCTTGCACTTCTCTGGGGGGAACAGGTGTGTGTCTTTTTTTTTAAACTCAGTTTCATTGTAACCCTACCGAGTAGAGGCCACTCTTCATTGATGCTCCTGGCCATTGGCAGACCTCTGTCTCTTCAGCTGTTACCCTGTGGGATCCCTTGAGGCATGTTTCTTCCTCTAGGCACCAGATGTGTCTTAGGTAACATAGAGAACCTGTGGAGTCAAAGGTAACCAGAGCCAGAATCTGCTTCCAGTCCTGAATGCACAAGGGACTGATGGAAGCTTTCAGAGTTAACAGCTGCTGAGGGGCCAAAAGAACGTGTAATGCCATGTCACAGGCATCAGAGTTGTTCCTAAGGAACAGACCAGTAATGAGTCATCTAGAGCACTAGTTAATTTTGTTTAGGAACAATTTCAAAGTATAAAACGACTGTGGATTTAAAAGGGCAGGGCCATATTTTATCATTAGAAAAACCCAAAGGAAATGCTTCCCTCCAAAAAATACACCGAGTAGTACCAGAGAGAATTAGTGGGAGTGAAATTAGCACCTACATGCTGAAGTAATTACATGTTTTCCTTAAATACTGGTCTCTTAAGTCATTGTTGCGTTGACAGTTAACAGAGCTGATACTTTCAAATTCAGAAGTGAAATTTTTATTGTTAAATACCCTCTTTGATGCCTAATTAAAAGCTCACAGCAATGCTGTATCAGCAGCCTGCTGTGGCTAAGGCTCCTGCAGGGAGCTTTGCCAAACTGCCCATCTTCTGACCTGGTAGGTCTGGAACAGAGAGGCCTCTTTGTGTTTTGATGAGCTGCAAGGCTGAGAAGCAACACCCTGTCACATGACAGTCCTGCCTGGGCCTGGGCTCCACAGGAGGGACCCGGCCCTAAACAAATGGAGTCATGTCAGGATGGAGCCAGATGCAGGGAAGCTACAAAGGGATTGGCTGCTCCAAGGTGCTGGCCTTAAACAGGGTGCCTGAGGCTGGGTTTGAGGGACTGGTCAGAGTCCCCTGGACAGGCAGAGAGCTCTCCTGTGCAGAAGGAAGCAGTAAATGCAATATGGTGCTTGTGTGCTGTGGAGACTGCAGGAGATCCCAACAGAGGCGGGCTATGGCACGTCATGGAGGACACTGCCTAAAACGTGTTCTGCAGGGTCTCCCAAGGGGGCAGAGCCAAGAGGAAGCAGTCTGTGGGGTCTGGCATTTGAGCAGGGAGTAGAGGACAGACTGAAGTGGGTGAGAGGTGACTTGGGCAGCATGAGTGAGAACCGGGTGTTTGGCAAAGCCTCCTAGGGTAAGGGGGCTTGCATCTGTGCAGTGCCTGGCACAGAACGTCAGCATGTATTTGTGGCTTTGACAGCAGCTTAATAGATGTGAAAGAGTAGCTGGAATGCCTTCCCAAAATTGGGTCTACCCTGTTCCCTCCCCACCAAGACGCTCAGAGTCACCCAGGGGATTTGGAACATGCACAGTTATCACATGGTAGGCCTCTGTCCCTGTCAGGCATGGCCAGAAATCCCAGGACCCTGGGTGAGCTTCTGCCCTACACTCCTCCCCTCCCTCTTTAAGCCCTCCCCACACCAGGTCTTTCTCCATCTAAAAACACTGCTACCAGAGGCAGAAAGAGAATGGGGATAGCCAGCTGACCCATGACTTCCTAGATGCCTCACAACTAGTGGCTAGTAGCAAGCGTGAGCTGCGTGCTTTGTTCGGATGGATGACAGTCAGCCAGCCACATGGCGGTTCTTTGGGGTGTTTCTCACACTAATGCACGTAGCATGCTGGCAAGCAGGACTTGGCAGTGATCTTGGAGGGTGGCTGGAAGGTCCCTTATAGATCCTTGCCTGACTCAGTGTGAAGTCATCGTGAAAGTGTATGTTTCCTTACAGTTTGAACAAGAAAACCAGAGACTCATTGGTGAAATGAACAGCTTGTTCGATGAAGTGAGGTACGTGTGTATTTCCTTTGTGAGCAGATGGCCTCCTTACAACCTTTCTAAGAACTGGGAACTCTATTCATTTACTTTGGTGCCCGGGCACCCTGAGCCATTGTGGCAAGGCGGGCTAAGCTAGATGGAGACGCTGCCTCAGTCCACAGCCTCTCCACCTGTGGGCCTGTTGGAGGAGGCCAGCTGCCTCCTGCACAGGCTCCCAACTCCCAAGTGCTGCGTCTCCCAGAGAAGACCAGTTCATAATTGCAGATCACCCTGAATATGAGGACCACCCCACCCACCAACAGGTCTCATGGAGCAGTTCAATGCAGAGGGGTCTGTGAAGGACAGACGCTAGCTCCACTGGAGTCTACTTCAAGTGGCCAATCTCGTCCAAGTGCCATGACTGGCCCTGTAGCAAAAGCACTCATGTCTCCGTTGCGGTGGGAATGTTTATGACATCCTGAAAGCAAGGCCTGTATGGCATGTACCCCAAATAAGCTTTGGATGTTGTACCTGCATATTCTGGGCAGGGTCTTCCCCAAGAGGCTCTTGGTCTTTTGTCCCTAGAGATTGGCCTCCAAGGCATCCCTCTGCCCAGCGCAGCTCTCCCTATCTGCCCCCGACCCACCTTGCTGTTCCTCCACCAAGCCTGATCCTGGCTTTTCTTCCCATGTTCCTCTCCCTTCCTTTCACCTTCCCGTTCTGGAGGGAGCCATCCTGCCACCTTTCACCTCCAGCCCAGATTGTGCAGGCTTGATGCTGAAGCAGCAAGCAGCTAACTTCATCCTGTGCCTGCCTCCACTCTTAATAGTCAGGCCCCAGCCTGCCCCAGGGTACCATGTGCAGCCCTGAAGTAGAGAAGAGGGCTCGCTGAAGTGTTTCAAGTCTGGCAGGCACAGTTGCAAGCCCACATGTGGTGTTTGCAAATGGAATTCGAGGTTTTTCCTTGCAACAGGGAGTTGGCTTGAGTGGGAAATACGCTTTGCATGTTGCAAAGTTGTCTTTCAGATCTGCAGCATGTGTTACTAGGCAACTAGATGAGGCACAGGATTTAGCGGAGACTGCATTTTGTATTGGAATAACCCTGCGTTCCCTGGTCCCCAGAAAGTCTCTAGGATGCAGAGGGCAGTGTGCACACCTGCCTCTTGGGTGTGAGGCTCAGGTTACACCCGGTGCACAGGACAGAGCCTGGAGAAAGGACTATGAACCAGTCAGCGGAACTGACTCTCCCTGCCCAGCTCCTCCCCAGCCAATATGGCCTGCCCCTCCTCCTCTCCTATCTTCACTCAGAAAAGATGGTTCTTAGAGATATGACACTCCTCTTAGATTACTTAGGGCTAACAGTTAACACATAATCTATTGGTTCTTCTTTTTATGAAGGCAAATTGAAGGGAAAGTGGTTGAGATTTCCAGACTCCAAGAGATATTCACCGAAAAGGTTTTGCAACAGGTAAGCAGACACAAGTGACAGTAGTTTTTAGTTCTCACTTCAGAGAGAACCATACTGAGATTCTCCTGAAGGCGTCCGGCCTCTGCAGGTGCAGGCAGCGCCCTGCACAGCCTGCCCATTGTGCTCAGGATCCCTCAGGCTGGTGGGCACCCTGGGGGCTCTGCACTGGGACCTAGGTTTGGGACTAAGCAGCTGCACCCGTGGAGGTAGAGGGCAGGTGGGATGGGGATGGTGATGGGAGTTGGGAGTGGAGGCAGGGGCAGGGACGGCACACCACACAGGGGCATATGCAGGTGTAGTCCAGGCCTGGGAAGCAGGCCACTCTTGGTTCTGGCTGCCCTCGGGAAGGATGGGTAGTCCTCTACTTACAGTTCCCCTTTTCTAGAACTGCAGGATTGCTGCAGGGTTCAGGGTTAACTGTAAAAGCGCCAGCATGGTGCCTGACAGCCCCTTTTCAGTCAACAGCATTAGGGAGGTCAGACACGGCCCGTGCTGCCTCAGGGAGAGCGGCCTCCTGGGGAACAGGGATGCTTTTGGTGACTGAGTTGTCATGTCACTTCTTCCCACCTACACTTCTGAAATCCTTCCAGCTGGCGAGACTTTTAATCTTTTGTTTTTAGTACCCACAGACTGAAAGGGTTTGAAAAACCACATTCTTCTGGGCTCTTGGCTCTCTCATGAAACAACTTTCCCTAAACTACACCACTTGCTTCTGGTTCCAGTGGAGTCACACAAGCCCAGGCCTCACTGCCATGTGTCACTGTCATGTGTCATGTGACCAGGGCTGCTTCCCCCAGCCCTTTCCTCATCTGTAAAGCAGGGCTGACGTCTCCTCACTGAGCCAGGAAGTAGGAAATGCTGAGACACCCGACCCGTTGCAGGCTCTTAACGGGTAGGGACTGCTGTTGTTGCTAGGTGTGGCATAGCAAAGCTGGCAGTACACTATTTTTTTTGCACAGCAGCAGCCCTGGCAAAGAGGACATTACCTCTGTATCTTGCAGGCAGTGAGAGCAGTGAGGTCTGGGATGGCCAAAGCAGCACCGTTCCTCAGATCCCTGACTCAGCCACCTTGGAGGAGTCTGAGGAGTTCCAGAGGCCTCTAACGTCATGACTCTCAGCTTGTCAGGGGCTAGTCCAGAGGCAAGGCCCATCAAAGAGAGCTGCTACCCTACCCATACAGGGGAGAGGGTCCAGCCAGAGCCTTGCTAAGCACTGCTAAGACTTAGGAAACTGTGTGTGTTGGGTTTTCACCAGTGTTGCAGTGGGTCCTAGCAAACCCCTCATAGGAGTGTTGGCAAGGGCTGATTAGCACTGCTTTGAGTCTCCACGAGGTATGACTATAGAGAAAGTAGTCCTCACCCATATGCCCTTTGTGAGATATCACCTCTGGAAATAAGGCAGCCAGGATTGCTTTTCCTTGCAGTGCTGTACCACACAGGTCCCTAAAGTCCCATGCTACTGGGCAGCCTTGCCACCCTGACATGAACCCAAGCCTGCTTGAAAGGCAGCTGCGTGGCTCCCTTCTGCCACTGCGGGCTGTGGGCTTTGAGCCACATGTGCTGTACGGGAGGCAGGACCCCACACCTGGCTGAGGGTCCCAAGCATTTAGAGATGTTCTCTGCAAGCATCTCACTTCCCATTTTAAACTTTCTGCCTATTTTTAGAGAGATGATCTTACAACACAAAGCACACTTTAAAGCTAGCATATGTGTTTTACAGCACAACCGTTTTTTTCTCTGGGTCTTAGGAAGAATAAATGAAGGACTTGGAGGGAAAGTCCCTGCATGTGGTGGCCAGTCCAGAATGTAGCTCTTCCACGTTGTCTTTGTCGTTTGGCAAGACACAGCAGAGATGGCAGGTAGGGGAAGGAGCACAGGCTTTAGGGTCCAACAAGGTGGTAGTCTCATCCCTGTCCTGCCACTCGGTTGCTGGGTGACTTTGGGTTCATTAGTAATCGTCTCTGAACCCTAAGTTTCCTTTCAGAGAACTGAGGTGGTGGTACCTACCTCTCAGTGCTGTGAGGATTCATGACTGCAGTAAAACCTCCAGCCCTCAGTAAGTGGCAGCTACTGTTTTCACTAGGATGTCAACGGAGGGAGGAGGAGGTGGCCATATTTTCCTAACACTTCCCTTTGGCAGGAAGCAGAGATCGACAGCATCCACCAGTTAGTCGTGGGGGCGACTGAAAACATTAAGGAAGGCAATGAGGACATCCGAGAGGTGGGTACTCCGGGGCCCCGGGACAGATTTGGCACAGCACTAAGCCCAGAAGCAGCATTAGTCCCATTGGCAGGGCTGCCAAAAGCCAGGCAGGGCAGAGCTCAAGACTGGTCCTGTAAATGTGTGGCCATGGGGTTGTGGTCAGGGCAGACCAAGCAGTGTGGGTGTGTGAGACGTGCTGGCCCACCTCCAGGTGGTCCAGAGGCTGTTGCTCCCTACACTACAAGGAGCAGAGTGGTGGGAGGGGTCCTGGCTAGGGCCAGGCCAGCTCCCTGAAGCTGGGATGGGTGCCACCAAGGAGCTGAAACCCAGAGGCTGGCTGTATATGACGACCCAGTCCTCTGCTGGATCTGTTTCCAGAGCTCTGTCCTCAGGGTAGAGCCATTGCAGAACTGGCTATGGGTCACCACTGATATGGCACTCCTGGGAAACACACGCACAGGGCTTAGACTTCCGAACAGGTGTGAGCGATGTGTGTCCTGGGAGATGAGGCAGCACTTCTAGATATCAGCTATGCAGTGACGAAGATACAACCCATTCGTCCTCTGTGGGGTTTAGCCCCACTTTCTGGCTTTACTTAATTTGGCCACCTACTCAAGGAGAGCACAGGGAAGAAAAGGGTCTTTAAACCCAGTCCTGTGTATGACACATCTGTGCTTCTGCCCACCAGGCCATCAAAAACAACGCTGGCTTCCGTGTGTGGATCCTCTTCTTCCTCGTGATGTGCTCCTTCTCCCTGCTCTTCCTTGACTGGTATGACAGCTAGCCGCCCGGGCAGCAGCCTGCAGGCAGAGGGTACACAGATGCCTCTGACACACCCAGTGCTACCAGCTGTCTCTGGCACCAAAGCGTAGCTGCGACTGTTTTGATCATGGAGCCACGTTGAGAGGCAAGGGGCCTGAGACAGATGTGTACTTCACAGAAGGACTTCCAGCCAGTGGTGGCATGCCCGGTGAGAGCCGGGAACGCACGGGGGTTGAGCGTGGTCTATGTAACAGTCCTGATTAATGTAGATGGCAGGGGTGAGGTGGTTAGGGCTCACACCTTGATGGAGGCCATGCTGTGTGACACATGGCAGGGGCTGCTCCAGAAAAGTGGCCAGATACACCTCATGCTTCCCACATTGACCCAGGGCTCAATGGACCCCTCGAACCTTGCCTGTCCCCGTAGCTTCAGGAAAGAACAGGTTAACAGTATCTCTCAGCACACAATTGTTCTTGCTTCCTTGCGGCTTCTTGCCTGTGAGTCCACTGACACACAGTCACGGTGTCATAGACAAGAAACTTAACTTACATTTTCCTGGTGACTAGTAAATGCTGCTATAGTCACCTACTCATTGTCATGAGTCTGCACTAAGAAGCTCCGTGGCCCCAGCCTGCCTACTTGGGACCCTCCGCCTGGCCTCACTCTGGCTGCTCCCTACCCCCTCACACATTAATGGCAGGGTTGACGGCAGGCTTGTGAGGCCCAAGGAGCTTCTATTCCAAGAAGGAAGTAGGCCTCAGAAGTGTGGGCCTGCCACCTTGTGCCTGTGCACCTTGCGCCTCTAGGAAGTGTCCATGGGATCACCTGGGAGCCAAAAACGTGCAGCACATGGACCACAGCTGTGCACACAGCACCCTGGTATCTGGCAGACAGGAGTTGGTTCACACTGCTCCTGGCCAGACGAGTGTATGAACAGACGGTCTGGTGGGTGGCTCAGTACCCTCGAGTTCTTTTATTTGCACAGAGTGAAATGTGAGAGGTTACATGGGAATGACTTTACAGCTAATAAAGTACATGTCTACTAGAAAATACAGATGGGCTTGTCTGGTCCTGTGCTGCATAGCTGCTTGTGTTCAGCTCTGTGCAGGACAAGGGTTGGCACATGTTTATCGCTCTTTCTGCACTTGCTCCTCACAACACAGGCCTCTGCCGTGCACGCCACTGTGCTCGCCAGAGTCATGGTCTTTGCTTCAAAATGCTCTTGATGTATTTTACATCTTGAAAGCACATTGCAGGAAGCAATAGTGAAATTGACCATGGTCACCATGCTTGTCCCCAACACATCTTTGTACTATTTGTCATTTATTTCTGACCTACTAAGAAAACAGTGAAACTTCTGACATGTCCACCAGAAAAACACATTCAAATAACATGGAGGAAACGTCTGTGAATGTTTTCTATTTAATTGTCGCACACACTTAATTTATCTAACTGGCAATTTTGTAAACATGTCAAGATTTCTTACAAAGATTGTGAGTTGAAATGTCATTATATTTGCAAGGTGTCACATCAGCCTGCCACCAGCCTTCTTGTCTGCTTCCTACATGGAGGGAATTAGACCTGCTCACAAGAGTAAAAGTAAAGCAGCCCTGACTCACCAGCAGTTACATCTCATTTTTCCCACCCAGCTGACTTTAAAGATGTAACTTGCAAACAGGGCTGTACATGCAAAGATCCATAACAGAAGTAAACAGAAGGGCCGGTGCTCTTTCCAGTTCAGCAGTCAGTCTGCCCACGGGAAGATAGAGTCCTGCTGCACCCCGGCCCCAGACACACCCCTTCTTGGGTTCTCTGGAGAGAACCTTGCCATCTCCATCCAGGATGCAGAGGCAGTGTGGGAGGCACCCTGCTCAGGCCACACTGAACACACCGTGGTGCAGGGCACACCGGGAGTGAGCATGGGCAGAGGACAGGGTTGTCTGCCACCTACTGCTCTTTTCTATTTCCTTCTCTGCACTACTCACTACAGTGTGTCTTGGCAGTCAGCACTGGCACCAACTGACGGGAGGGAGAAATGTCAAGTAGGGCCTGTCCTTAGCAAAGCGAGGCTGCTCCAGATACGGCTGTGGAGTAGTGTGCAGACAGCAAGGTGGCTTAAAAAATCAGCTCCACCAAATGCACTGTTTTATCTGAAGTCCAAACCCCTGGGATAGCCAGTAAATTTATTTTTTGACAGCATCCAGTAAATCCCAGTGAAGGAGCTAACTTAGGAATCCTCACGTGGAGAGTGGCGTCAGGGCTCTCTAAGCAATGCTGACATGCACTTGATCTCACACCCACGGGCGGTCGGCAGCAAGGCTTTTGCAAAGCAGCAGTGGCAGACAAGCGACTGCACCGTAAATGAGTGACCTCTACATTACTGCTAATTACATTTAATGAAATGTCCCTCAAGTCCCTTTGTTACCTTCAGGTGACGCATCGTGAGGAACCTGCCCATCTCGCTAAGCTGACTTGTCAGCTGCCTCAGTCTCCTGTTCTGACAGCTTCTCTTCTGACAGTACCGACATCCAGGGTGACACGGAGCGGGCAACGCTCTGCTTGGCCAGGTTGTAGTGGTTTATGACTGTGTAGAATTTCTCTCGGGCACTGGCATCTTGCTCTACGTAGTAGCTCTCTAAGCCTTCTGGAATGCACTGGGTATTCTGCAAAACAGGAGATCGTGGCGATCACGCACGGGTGCAGGAGGGCACCAGTGTATGGCTCCATTAATACCCCACAGAGTTACCAAGCACCTTGGCAAAGGCAGCGCGAACCCTGCCTCAGTGCAAAGCCCCACGGAAGCAAGGCACTAACTAAACCTTAACAGACTCTAGCAAGTACCTCAGCAGATGGGTACCCAGGTTCCTGGAGGATGTATGGCACAGGGCAACAGAACTTATTTCACCAGAGGGCTCTCATTAACTGCGTTTATTTTTAATCTACTAGAAGATAAGGACACTTGTGATATGTCCAGAAATGACCAATTCAAGTAAGGAAAGAAGGGAGTGAGAAGGGCTTTCCTTGGGTCAGGTCCTCAGTAGGTCTGGCCTGGATGGTAGACACCCACAGTGAAGGAAAGGCGAGGGCCGAGAGGCATTGGGGCAGGAGGCTAAGGGCTAGGCCTGGGGCTGGAGCGGAGGGCAAGGGAGGGCATGAGAAGGGCGATGCCACACAGCTTCCAAGGTCCTGAGAGGTGTGGAGCAGGCCTTGTGCTCCAGGAAGCAGCAGGGAGCCACAGAGGAGTCTCAGAAGAGCGGAGCCAGGCCAGGAAGCTGCTCCTGCAGGCCACAGACCTGGGAGGCGAAGCTGGAAGCACCTAAGATGGTAGGTGGGCATTCTGGAGGGCACATCCACAGCTGTTACCAGCTGTCGTGAGTGTAAGTCCACAAAAGCTGAGGAGCCTGCACCTGAGCGGGCTGCTTGTCAGGACAGGAACCAACTAAGCACTGCCTCAGTCACGGCTCATGTTGGGAGCACACTGCATGATAGACCCCTCACACCAGCCCCATAGGGAAGGTGTGTGGAGACTAACTGCCTTTCCCCACCCATTCTCCCCCAGAGCTGAGCAGGGTGCATGGGACCCCAGCCCATGGCTGCATTTCCCAGCCTGCCTTGGAGCAGGTGAGAGCATGTGATTAACTTTGAGCCAAGGGGATTGAGTGAATGTAGAAGCTGTGCATCCTCCACTGTTCCCTTTCCCCTTCTGCTGGCTCTGACCCAGAGGACAAAAGCCCGGGGACCAAGGCAGCAAGAGTCAGGGAATCAGGGCTCCAGGATGACTTTTCAGATCCCACATTGACTTCCAGCTTGGGCTTCGGAGAGCAATAAACCATCCACTTTGCTGAAGCCATTATTATTTGTGTTTCTAAGCAGCCAAAGCACTGCACTAGTGCCAGGTCTCCTTATATGACAGAAAAGTGAGCCCCACGGTTAAGTCAAGGGCCTCTGGCCTTGAGCTGCCATCCATCCCATTCTCAGCTCTCCCAGCCCACCCAGAGTGTAACTCAGCTAGTCTGTGCTGCAGCCATGCTCAAGCATCTCCCTGAGCAGGCTGAGGGTCAGCCTCACTGAGCCAGTTTCTTGGCCAAGGCCACCTGGCCAAATTCACAGCCACTCCTGGTCTGTAACAAGGTGAACACCCTTGCGGTTTCCATGCCACTGCTGGCAGGAGCTGCTTTCCTGCCCTTGGCTGATAAAGCTTAGTGAGTGAGCCTGACAGAATGGAATCTCTCCCAAGTGACCTGATGCCTCCAGGCTCCCAGTGGCTTGCTGACTTGTGGATGGCAATCCAGGACACCTGGGAGTTAAACCTCTTGCCTGAGTCTGAAAGCTGAAGGCTGGTCTAGGTCATCTCCCTTCTCCCTACGCTAGAGTCTGCACCCATGTCAGGTTGCCCTCTCAAAGTTCTCACCGCACCAGACAATTTGCCTCACTGTGACGTGGGTGCCATTCAACCCATTTTATAGGTGGAGGAGTAAGGCCGAGAGGTAAAATCATTCCCCAAGATCACACAGGTGAGTGGAAGAACCGTAGCTCTAGCCTAGACCTCTGAGCAATGTCACCCACCCAAGGTGCTGGTACAAGACTTCCCGCCAACGCCCAAAATGAGAGAGAGATGCGGGCCTTGCAATCGGGTCGTGGTGAGGGATAGGCCAGACTCCATCTTCCAGAATCTACCAGTGGCCTTCCTTTTAATCCATACAAACAACGAGTGCCTGCAGTACCCCCTGCAAAGCGCTGTTTTCAGAAGAGATGACACTGCCTGGGTCCAGCACCTCAGGGAATGATGTTCTAGCTTTTGAGTCAGACCAGGCCCCCACTGAGATGACTAAAGCAGGCCTGTCTCTCGAAGCCTCAGGGCCTCATCTACAAACCAGGCTAATGAGTCACATGAGGACTAAACTCAGTGCAGGATGCCTCAGGAGAAAGGGCAGGGTGTGGCTGAGGTCACACAGCAGAAAGAAAAGTCTCACAGGGCCCAAAGAAGTGAAGCCCTTTTATTGTGAGGGTCTTGATCCCAACCCTGGCACAGGAGCCCCTGACACTGCAGAAGCAAAGGGCCACCACTCAGCCCTGGCCAGGGGTTCTGTGGGTGAGCCGGCTCCCTCCAGCCTGCACTGCTAGTCGACCTCTGTCCTCTCCACCTGGCCCTCACCAGCCTTCAGGGAGAGGGGGCCTTGAGTTTCCATCTTTTACCCCACCCCGACCGGCACTGAGCCAGTGCCCTGCAAGACACTCTATGTGGCCGTGACTTGTGGAGCAGTGACCCTGCCAGCAGGTACAGGTATCCAGAGATGGCAGAAATGTCCATGCCCTCCAGCCGCCCAGCTCAGGGACGCCAGCAGGTGTACAGAGCTCTCCTACACACATGGCTGTGAGAACCCAGGAGGGTGTATGGGAGGCTTCCCAGAGCGGGGTTGGGAGCCGAGGGACACACAGTGCAGGTTTTGCCTTGTGAATGCGGGCAGAGAGGCGAAGACTTCCAGAGAACTTCCAGCCCTCCTCCATCCCAGTCCTTGGTAAAGGTGATAGAGCTGCATGTCACCAGTAGGGCCATGCCTCCAGAGGAGTGTGATGTTGAGCTTGGGGAGAAATCCAAACCACTCTGGACCTCATTCTCTCACCTGTGACATGGGACCTATGTGAGGACGCTGAGGTATGGCAGCACCTAGCTTCTGGACAGCCCGGGCCCACAGACAGTGCTAAGTGTAACCTCTGGGTTCTGACAGGGTCTAGCTATGTATTGCAGGCTGGCCTCAGACTCAGTGATGTTCTAGCCTCAGCCCCTCAAGCTCAGGAATTACAGGTGTGCACCACCCACCCCAGCTCCACCTGCCTTTTTAAATGTCTTCACGTGTGCCTCAGACCTAAGGCCACTGGGACATGGCAGGTAGGTGGCCCTCTGGGATACACGCCCCTTGTGTCTTGTCCAGGAGATTGCGCCCAGGGCTGACACACAGTAGGAGGCATTCAGTTAGCACATGCTCAGGGAATGGAAGGGCGTGACCTTGGGCATGACCTCTCTGAGCTCCACTTTCCCACTGGCAAAGCTGGGGATGACAATATCTACCTGATGGGTTCTGGGCCCATCCAATGAGAGCTTGGCGTAGGTCCATCAGTGATGTGCATGAATGCGCAGGGAAGGAGGAGGAAGGGGCACCTCCCCTCCCTTGTCTAAGCACAGCCAAGGACAGGTGGACCCAGACCCCCTCCTTGGCCTTCCCAGCTGTGCCCTCCAGAAAGGAGCACCCCCCTCAATTAGACACAAGTGGAAAATGCCCAAGTCCATTTGTATGCAGCTGTAGAATAGCCCACCAACACTTTAACTTCCCATTGGGGCTGTGGAACCAGAATCGCCTACTGTAGGGCCTCAAAAACACGGACTCCCAGCCGCTCCCACACAGCGGGGAGGCCCATCTGTAGCTGCTGGGAACCACAGGACTTGGGCTTGCAGGACGGAGACTGCAGGTTTAGTCCTGGCACAGAGACAACAAGCCCAGGGGCAGCTGGGTGGGGCGTTGGCGCGTTGTTAGTCTGCAGTGGCCAGGGTGGGGATTCAGTCTCCAGGGAGTTGTCCACTGCACATCCTGGTTCCCACACGGGCACTGCTCCATGGCCTGCCTTTGATGACATCAGCCTCTGAGTCAGATAGGGCCAGGTCCTCTGCTTTTGTACCTCCCTGCCTCTCAGCTCTGATCAATCTTCCCATCCACCCTCTGTCACATGGGTTGGCCTCTCTGATCCCAGCACCCTGACCCTCCAGAGCTGGCAGCACCTCCTGGTTACTTCACTGCCCATCTCTCCCCTCCAGCTGTTCGTCCAAGGGATCATCCAACACACCCCCTCCTTCAGGGTCTTTGCCTGGCGCCCAAGATATCATGCAGCCTGGCCATAAGCTGTACCTGCTCCACCTACACTCCCTATGCATGCTCCTCCACAGGAGGAGGCCAGGGTCCCCATGCCCCACCCTTGGACTGGGCTGGCTTTGAAGACCAGCCTCCTTCTCCAAACATGGACTCTTCTAGCCCAACCCAGGTGCAGACAGGGGTTTGCTGCATGGGACATAGAGATGGCTGGGGGCATCTGGATGCCACCTTCTAGAAACAGCAGCTCCCCCCCACACACATATGTGGTCTTGGCCCTTTCTGTTCTGCTGTCACCCTTCTCATGGTACACTGCCTGCCTCACGTCTCTGGAAGAGTAAGAGCTTCATGAAGGCAGTGTCTTGGCCTGAGTGGATCCTGGCTGTAGTCCAGCACCCGGAAAAGCCAGAGCTCTTGACATGGGAGGCACCCTGCAAATGCTGCAGGTGAGGGAAGGGCTGAGGGCCACAAAGCGTGGAAGAAGGAAGCATGTCCTGGGCTAGGGCAGATGAAGTCTTGCCTTGCTGTGCTTGGTGCAGCATCCTCACCGCACTAAGACACAAACCCAAACCACGCAACAGAGGCTGTCAAGCCAGGGGCTGTGCACACGCACTCAGGACCTCAGCAGTGCCGAAGCCTAGACAGGAACATTTGCGTTTAGCTTTGGAAAGTTCAGAACCACTGAGGGCAAAGGACACAACAGCCTGCAGCAGGTGTGTTAACCCACACACTCTCCATCTCCATCCTCTACCCCACCTTCCCTCCTGCTAGTTCGTTCTTTAGTACTTTATCCTGTGTGTGGCCTCTGTGCCACCTGTGAGCTTTTAGGAAGGAGGTTTTACACAAGCAGTACAAGAATTTCTATGTGTGCAGAGGGCCCAGCAGCAGAACGGACCATGGGCAGCCGGTGTAGGCCCCAGCCTGCTCCCCCAGCCCCATGTAGCCTCAGGCAGGGCCTTCCCCTTCCTCCCTGAGCCTCTCTCCTGTGGCTGACAGCCCCTGTCTCCCCTAGAGCCAGGCACTGGAGGAGAATGTGAGCCTCCTGCCTCCAGAGGCTCCTTCCCAGCCTCAGGTCAGCTCCCAGGGCCACTCCCAGTGTTTCCTTCCCACTGGTCCCACTGTGCCCTCTAAGAGTCTACTGGCCTGGCTCCCAGCAGAGACTTCAACAAGAATCCCCCTGTCAGAGGTGCTAAGCACAACCCTGACTGCTCTAGGGCCCCGAGGTCAGGGGAGGGAAGAAATGCAAAGGTGTCCCAGGTGTCTTCGGGGGAAGTGGGGATGTACCTTGAGGACGAACCCATCAGGGCAGGCGCGGTCATACTTGTACACCTTGTAGACGACCAGGAAGACAACACAAGTGAGGAAGGCCAGGGCGAAGAGGACCAGCACAGAGACCTGTGGGAAGAGGCAGGGACTGTCAGGGAGTCACGAAGACAGACAGGTACAGACAGAGACACCCACTCACCCCTGCAGGCACCCATGTGCAGACTCTAGAAGAGGCACAGAGACCCTGGGCACAAGGGACTAAGAGAATCACTTTTCACTGGACAGTTTTGTCCATACATCACTTCCAGTTGAAGTCAGCTGCTTCCAGTACACCAGGCCAGGCCTTGCACAGACAGCTCCTGGTGTAGACATGCTAAAGCCTCAGGGTGGCCCACATGGCTCACAAGGCAACTCAGACCCACAACCGAGAAGTGGGGCTAGGCTGCACCCACTGTCCCCAGTCACCACCTGAAAAGCACCTAACTCCACAGACTTCTCAGAGCCCCAGGCTCAGCCTGGACACCCAACATCAACAAGCTGCCCTTGCCCTGAGACCAGCTGAACAGGACAGAGGTCCTCCACCCACTGCCACCTCTGCCCACTACAGTCTCCTGTGGCTCGGCTGCCACAGGGACTTTATTTTCTTCTCCACTGGTGGCTGAGCACTGAAATGGCCATGCATGTGGTAGGTGTTCAGCCAGTGGATGAAGTCATGACCGCGTGGCAAAAAAAGGGGCCTGGGGGTGGGAGACACACTGCAGCTGGAGGCCACCGGCTGGCACTGCATCTGGAGGAGTGTGTGCAAGGCTGAAAGTTTAGATGGCCCTCCCCCCGCCAGGGAAGCAGAGGGATAGGAAGGGCCCACCCTCTGCCATCAGACTACCTGGAGGAGTGGGCCCTGGGGCCAGCTCATGACCAGGGTGCCATAAACACGAGTCCGAACAAGCTCAGAAACACGGCTGGCTTCCCACCTCCCATCCAGCCAGGTCGTCCTCCTCTCGCCACATGCAGAACCTTGCGGCCCCACGTCTGTGCAGTGGGGAACTCTGTTGCTTCCCAGGCTGAAGAGACCAGGTGTGACCTGGACAGACCCTGACAGTGCCATGAGCCAGCCTCAGGAAGCCTGGCCTGAGGTCTGCTGGATACAGTGGGGCCTGTTGCTCAGGTCTATGAAAGTGGCAGAAACGGATTCACAGGCCCAGGGTGCCCGGGTGCCTGGGTAATTGATGTGCACGAGAACCCCACAGCATGCATCCCCTGGGAGGCAGATGCTGGCCCTGCTGTGAACACCCAGGTCACCACGGGTGTTCCCATTCTCCTTGGGAGCCCGTGCACCCGCTCCAAGCAGCTTAAGCACTAGCACCAGTGCCAAGTCTGCCTGCAGCTCGCCAGCTGTGCCCCCTGGGAGCCTCAGAACCTCTCCGACAGTCTCTTGGAGCATAGGACACCCACTCCACCTATTCCCAGTCCCTGCCAGGCTGCAAAGGCCATAATCATCACCACAGGAGCCCCTGCTGCCCCTTCCCAGGCTCTTAATCTCCAGGGTTCAGAACCGTCCCCAGCCTGCATCTAGGGAACCCCAGCTTCTGGGCAAGGTGAATAGAGCAGTTACGGAGCCAGGGGACTGTACTCCGAACGGAACCCTCCTGCCCAACTTTCGGGATTCTGCTGCTGGCATTCTTCCAGCCTCCAAGCACCTTCACCACGCTCCTCACGTTAAGACGGGGCAGTGCCAAACCCTTGCGACTCCAGCCAGGCTGCTCCCTCCCTCCCCGCACAGACACAGGCTACCTGACACACCCAAGGCTGCCAAGTCCCCATCTCCAGCCTCCTTCACTGCCCCCAGCTCACACACATTGCAACATGAATGAGACCTGTTCACTCCGATCCCTGTCCTTCAGTCCAGGCATCAGTTCCCAGGCAAGCAATCTCCCCGGGGGCCCTTCCCCCTGCCTCTGAGTCCTGCTGCCTCCTGCTCTGTCCTGTCCCCTTCTCCAGCCTCTGCGGCCCCTCACTGGGGCTGTCCCCCTCTCTAGGGCCACAGACTCCAGTGTCCACCTGCAATGCGAATGAGACAGGATGGAGCCAGGCTACCTTCAGGGCCCACAGAACCCGGGTGGGAGGCACCAGCCAGGCAAGGTCCCGAGCGCTGCAGCCCACGTGAAAGCACCTGGCCCCAGGAGAGCTGCGTGTGGCACCCCATGAGAAAGGAAGCATCTGGCATCCCAGGAGCCTGTGGTAGCCAAGGGGCCTAGAATTCGTAGGCCCAAGTGTATGGGCAGGGTGGTCAGTGACAGCCACTAGCCCTGGCGACACCTAGGACGCCAGCTCCCTAGGGTGACACAGCCACAGGCTGGGCAGCCCCAAAGGTGGCAGTAACTCCCAGAAGCTGGGAAGAGGCAGCAAGGCTCGTCCCGTACTATCCACAGTTGGGGTCATTTCATACTTCCGGCCTCTAGAACCGTGAGAGAATACACTCTGCTGTCCCAACAGCCCTGACTTTGGCACTTTCTTCCAGCAGTCACAGCTACTTTGGGGGCACAGGACTGGCCTGCCTTCCCTGAAGATGTCCTCCCCCATATTGTGGGCTGTGCTGTCCTCTCCCCTCCCTGCTGTCCCCCAAAGCCCTGGTCGGTTCCCAGTCCCTGGGAGCCATCCCAGTCTCACTCCAGACACCGAACTCAACCAAGCATCCACTTTTTCCAAATGCAAGGGAAATAAAAGTGTGGCCCAATTTGGAGACTCGTTAACCACCCCCAAACTCACACCTTTAGACAATTAAGAATATTCTAGAACATGGAGCGAAATTACTGAGCCAGACATCCGCAATTCCTCCAGGCCTTGGAGAATGAATCCTTCTAGCAACTTCGGGATACTGTGGCCAAAAGGTAAAAAATGAACCAGTACTGGGAGTGGAAGGAGACAGCCTGGGTTCATGGCCTGCTCATCCACACACTGGGACCCTGGGACCCTGGCAAGTGTCACCCCTTCCAGTCCTCAGTTCCTTCTCATCTATGAAAAGGAGCTGCTGGTTGATGTCCATGTTCGTGGTGGGCTGTGCGGGAACCATATGCTGCAGCCTCCAAGAGGGGAGAGGCCGAAAGCCCATGAGGCAACCCTGCTTTGCCCATGCCGAAGTCCCGGTCACTAAAAAGGCACCTTCATGTCAGGCAGCAAGACAGCCAGGTGGCCTTACAACATAGGGGGTCATGCAGAAGAGATGCAGCGGTCATTTAGGATAACCCCTGCCTAGGTACAAAACGGGTGGCTGTAGGTGAGAGTTGTGGAAGTAGTGCAGTGTCAGGTTGTGGCCCAGACATCGGGGTGGCTGAAGGTCCCCAGATACTGCTCGTGTACAACCTGAGTGGACGCCACAGGTCCCAACAGGATTCCAGTTCTGGGCAGAACTCCTAGAGCGTGGGCCCACTGAGCCATGGTTCCGGTTTGGGTACACAAGTGTCCTTCAAGAGGCTCGAGTGCTGAAGGCTTGGTTCCCAGCTGGTGGCACTATTGAAAGGTGATGGGATCACGAGGACACTGACCCATCTCATCAACGGTGAGGAGGCGAGGCCTGGCTGGGGGAAGAGGTCCCTTTGGGCTACCAGGACGTGAGCAGCCTCCCTCTGCCACGCCTTGCACCATGACATTCTCCCTCAGGGCAAGCCCAGACACAACGGGCCAGCCAACCATGGACTGAAACCTCTGAGACCAGGAGTCAAAAGAAACCTTTCCCTCAAGTCTTTTTTTCCCTCAGGGACTTTCAGAAGCCGACTGAGCAGCAGCCATCCCAGACTTTGCACTGTCACCACAAATCCACAGATGTGGTTCTGGAGGCTCTGCACCTGTACTGGTGCCATTTAAATCGAGACTGCAGCCCCTTGTGACAGCCTCTGCAAGGCACTGTTCCTGACCACATTTTTACAAATGGGGAAACTGAGGCTCTGACTCACAAATGACGGGCCCAAGGCCAGCTGGCTGTGCTTCGCTGAGTAATGTCCCCAGAGATGCTCAGGTCCTCGTTCTCGTGCGATGTTTTGAATGTGTCCCAAAAAAGCATGTGTTGGGCACTTCCTTCCCAGTGCCACAGTGAGGACACGGGGCCCGATGGGAAGCAATCAGGCTGGGAGGGCTCGGCACGCCTTGCGGAAGGCCAAGTTCGGTCCTTTTTTTCTCGTCTTCTCTGCCTTTTCCTCCACAGGAAGGTTCTTGAAGGTTGCCAGGCCCTCTATCTTGGACTTCCCAGCTTCCAAAACCATGAACCAATAAATTTCTGCCCATTATAAATTACCCAGGCTCAGTTATTCTGTTCCAGCAAAGACACCTGGAACTTGGCAAGGATCCAGGTGAGATCCTTGCAAGGGAGATCACCTGGAATGTCCAGGGGAACCCTCTGTGCCATCACACAGCCCTAAGAGGGAGGACCTCCTAGCAGAGTGGACGATGGAAGGACGAAGCAGAGATCAGACAGCCATGTCTGGGAGAGAGAAAAGGCCCGGGAATGGATCCCCTTTTGCCCTCAGACACAGTAGGCCACAGTCTCCTGGATCTTGACCCAGTGAAACTACACAGGATTCTGACTCCCACAAACGGGAGAGACATGCTTGGTGCTGCTGAGCCTCCCAGTGGGGGGGTCTGTTCCAGCACCCCAGGAAACCCAGGCATTCCAGCAGATACCCTGCTCCCTCCCATGGATCCCTGAGAGCAGGGCTGTGACTCACATGTCTGGCACAGTACAGGGGCCCCCCCCGAGTGTGCATGAGTGAGCAAGCAAGTGGCTGTGTCCAGCTGGCAAGCAATGGTCTCCTGCAGCACTTACTGAGCAAGCCATGGGCACCTGGAGCCAGCCCAGAGCGTCTGTCTACTCACCGCGATCTCGAGTGGGAAGAGGCAGGGTCCAGATCTTCCTCCACAGCCCACAAGGCCCGGAGAGCCACAGGCTGACACAGTGCCCAGCTCCCTCACCTGTCCTCTCCGGTTGGTCTGTGGGCTCTGGGACCAGGGACAAAGCCAGAGTGTCCCCTGACTGGGGAAAGGAGTTGTTCCCCTCAGACTGTGTCACCTGGGCCCTCCATGCTTGCAGAGACCAAGAAAATCTTGGTTTCATTTTGTTTCAAATCAAAGGAAACAGT